CAAGACTGAGTATCGAACCCACAATCGTTTTTAATTTGATACCAAAAGTGTTGAGTTCTGGGCGACTAATGAGCATATTCGTTTTAAAGGAACCTGCCGATTACTTTCTCAATGAATGAAATTGTTTGGACTGTAAAATATAAGAATATAGTAAAATATATGCATCACATTTAGCCTACCCATTCATTTGCACCTGGGTTCTTTTGCCCAAAAGCCAACATATATTTCTTTTACACTGATATAAAACAGAGAAAAACAGCACATGCACTCCTTGGAGAAGCTGGAACTAGAGAATATGTGGACTATAAAAAGACTGAAAGGATTGATTATTAGAATTTTTGCTGATCAGTTTTCTGTCCATCATCCATTTGTTGAAGCTCTGGCTGGCAGTTATTTGGGTTATTGATTACTCTGCCATTTATTTTCTCAGTTAACTGATTATTGCACAAACAGAAACATGCAGACATGATTAGTCAAATAACTGATAAGTCTCTTGACAAAATAATAAATTTTAAAAAAAATCTGCAACCAGTTGAAATAACCGTGCTGGTTTATTCAGAGGATCACAGGTAAAATTCACATTACACGTCCAGAGCTCTCTCACCCCTCTGCCTGCAGGCAGCAGAAAAGCTCAAGATCTCTGGACCCAACCGCCTATATAATATTAATCATTTTTGGGCTAGCCCATGCTACAAGGGGCGTCAAACCGTGACGCCACCCGATAAGCAAGCTTTGCAGCTGCTCTATCGTTTAGCCAAAACATGAGGCAAAGTCAAGGTGCGTGACTGTTGTTTTCGTGGTGTGTATCTAAACAATTGGACATAACCTTACACATTAAGACAAATATTAAGACTAGCATTACAGTTGACCCTAAAAGCTCTTTTCCTGTAACCTTGGCGTGCCTGCAGTCCCTGCAGGCTGAATAGTTACAGCCTAAGCTAGTCACCCTGTCTGCACTAAACATTTCTAGACAACAAATCTCTAATCCATATCTATCTAACTAAGAAATAACCTAACACTAGCTTATCTAATGTAATTTGCTGTCATTGTAAATTAAAAATCGTTGGGTTATGTACTGTTGTTCAAAGATGTCACCTTGGGTATAGACCACATCGATTAGCCTAGAAAATAACTACTTAAAAACCATGGCTGTAGTGTAGGTGTGGTAAATAGTGCTGCAGCTAAACTCATAAAAAGCCTCAGACCAGAAGAGCAGAAGTTATAGCAGAGAGGCTGCAGTTTTTGGATATCCCATAAACTTTTGACTGCATATTTTACCATGATATTTAATTCTGCTAGAAACAAGGTATTCTTCTCTGGTTACTTTACATGATGAGATAATATATTACCCACCCCTAATGAAAACAGATGGATAATTAGAATGAACTTCTAACGGTGTAAAAGGTGAAGTAATTTGTGGTAAATGGATAAATGCTCAAAACTACATTTGGGCACATGAAGAGCCTCTTTGTTCTAATCTCTCTGAATCAGCCTGCTGAGCCCATGGATGGATGAATGACAAAGAGAATGCCCCTTTGGACTAATCAAAATGTATGGCAGACACTTTAGTGTATATGGGGGTTATGGGATGTAAATCATGTGTGGGCGGTTGCCTACCATTTCTAATGCCATTTGACTTTGGGGCAACCTGTATCCTATTTCTGTGCTTTGTATTTTGGCTTTGCCTTGTCTCATTTGCTGAAATGTCTTATTACAGGAGCATCATTCAGGTGTTACTAACGTGGTGATTTTCACTGAAATATTAGCCTCTACCAACTGTAAAATAAAATATTTTATTATACTTGTAAAAGCATTGATTCAGTACCTGGGTAACAGTTTTAGTAATTTAGAGTAAAGTAGAAATATTGACTGGTTGCAGCTTTCTAACTAGGTTGGGTTTGGCAGATCTTACTCTGTGTATATATATACAGGTGCAGCTCAATCGTATATAGGGCACATATATTGTTAAATGTGAGCAAAATCATCACAATTAAAAGACCCAACGGCTTAAACTACTTCAGTCTGTGTGTACTGAATTTATATAATACACGAGTTTCACTTTTTGAGTTGAATTACTGAAATAAATGGACTTTACATTGATATTCTAATTTATTGAGCTGCACCTGTATATATATATACATACATACAGTATATAGAAGGGGACAGAGTGAAAGGCCTCGAAGATGTGATACAAGCAAAGTAATCTAGAACTTGGTCAACTATAAAAATTGTGCTGGTAAAATTGTTAGATCAGTTTTAAGTAGTATTATTTAGGATCCTGGATCTAGAGTTGGCTTCTTGAAGCTGTGAGACATTTAACTAAAACCAATAAAAGATCACATTAGTCTGCTTTTAACATCCTATATTTTAAGATTGTCTTTAAAATTTGATGAATGACATTCTGAAGACCAGTAGACAGATTTCAGAAGAGGCAAACTCAAACGCCCTCATTATTTAAGACAGCAGTCAAGAATCTTTATTCTGATCTTAAGAATAACAATAACTCACAGAAAGGGGGCACTGGTGAGCACAGAATTCTAGTAAATGGGTGTGGTTTTTCTGACCTGTTAATTAGATCACCTGTCTCCTGGTGAAGTTTATGGTTTAAGCTGTTTGGACGGATGCCCAGGTCTTCGTTTGCTGGTGTGAGCGTTGTCTGTGGGGGTGGGCACTGGAGCGATTGGTGGCAGCAGGGCCTGGCTAGGGGGCAAAATGTTGCCTCCTTTACGGGACAGCAGGCTTATCTCTCTCCTGAGGAGCTCAGCCTGCTGCGATTGTGTCTTCACCAACTCCTGGAGCCTCTGGATCTCCTCCTGGTCCACACGTCTCCTGTAATCCTGGAACTGTCTGCCCTGGATACACACAAACAGACACCTATGAAGACATGCGGCATGTTCATATACCACAATACAAATGCAACCTTATTCTGCTGTGCATGCAGAAATAGAAGAAGGCAGGCTTAAGTGCTGACATGATATCCTGGGTTTAAAATCTGACTCAGGAACTTTGACCAACAGAGTTATCAGATCTTATTGGCAAAGATTAAAGTGCCAAAAATATATTTAAAGCAGCATTCATTGATTTTTTGGGACACTTGAAGGAGCCGAGCAAGCTGAAAACACATTAGTGGCATATCTTTTACCTTATACTATGTAACGTGGCATATAATGTGTTAGCAAACAGCTGCTTACTTCTACATGCAGCAGACACGGAGCAACATTAGTATCCACTGGAGTCATGTCTCTTTTTACTCAACAAAGTAGTCAGTCCAATTTTTATTCTGTTTTTAGCTCTGAAAAAATATCTACAACTATGATTTAACTACTAAAGGTGCAACCAAGTCCATCAGCTATCTGTCTCTCATTTGACACTAAGCAGGTAGCAAAGGATGTTTTTATCTGAAAACAGCCGCCTGCCACTGGGTTAATGAGAACATTGAAATGGAACAATACAAGAACTCATATTTAGTGTATGAACTACAACTGTGGGTTTGACAAACCTTCTTCACTTTACCTGTCATCATTTGACATTGTTAAATTTAAAAATACTGATGCACATTTTTATGTAAAGGGAATGAAATCATAATGTACATCACAGGTGGTGAAGACAAGTCACACTGGGTCTGATCATTGCTGACATCCTGCTTGCTTGTTGCTTGGGGACGGCTGTGGCTCAGAAAGTAGAGCAGCTTGTCCCCTAACTGTAGGGTCAGCAGTTTGATCCTCAAATTCTCCAGTCTACATTGACTGTTAGTCCCTTGTGGAGTTCTACCTCCGATTGGCCAAAACATCAACTGTCACCCTCTGGAGGTTCAAGACGTAACTGACAGACTGAACCACAGCAGATGGCAGATTGTTGGGAGAAGGTTGTGGCCTGCTGCTTGTCTAAATTACAATGCTTAACCAAAGCTAAAGCTAAGGGACATGTAATGCTACCAGGATTATATTCTTGTATTATGATTTAGTTGTTTTTTTTTTTCAGCAAACACTTGCATATATTAACATTGATTAAAATTACTTTTAAATTCATTTAAAACACAAATTTACCATTTTCTTCTGCCTGGTATTGAGTTTATGCTCCAGTTCCCTCTTCTGGTCAATCAGGTTTTTCATGCTGAGAAGACGTTCTGTGTTAGCCTTGGTCACCTCCATCAGAGCCTGATGCGCCTCTTCCACCTTTGCCTGGATATCACATTAAAATACAGATCCAGAAAAAGATCATTAAGTTTATTTCCATCTAAGTTGTTTTTAATTGTAATATTTTGAGTTTGAAGGGGATCAGAACAAAACAAGGCAGCTATACTGTAGATGTCTCGCTTTTTCCAAAGTGCACACAAGCACATTTGTTTTCAGAGAAAGAGTCATTCTAAAATTCAGTGATTTAAATGTTGGCAAACATCTGGTTCACAAAGTAGGCCAAGTTTCCATAAACAGGTTTCGGTCTGCACAATGTGAGTAATGCCAGACACAAAGACAGCGTACATCCCACTGTTTTATTTCCTTGGCGTATGCAGCTTCTCTGAGGAGTTTTTCCTGCTTGAGCTCCTCCAGCGTTCTGTTTCCTGACAGTGTCTGCAGAGCCTCCAGATCCACCAGCCTGCCATATTTCATCATCATCAGCTCGTTGCACTGCTTCTCCAGCACTATACCAACACACAGACACACACCAAAACACAGGTCAATAAATGCGATTGAATTTAAGAATGACACTTTCTGGTACTTCTCGGATATTTGGATATCTATACTGCTTATCCTGTAGAGGGAAGTGGGGGGCTGGAGCCAATTCCAATCTATATTGGGAGAGAGGCAGAGTACACGCTGGACAGGTTGCCAGCCTATCACAGGGCTGACACAAACAGTAGAGACAACCGTTAATACTTATATTCACACCTATGGGCAAATTAGTTGCCAATCAACCTAAGCTGCATGTCATTGGACTGTGGGAGGAAGCAGGAGTACCCAGAGGATACCCACACAGGAACAAAGGGAACATGCAAACACCACACAGAAAGGCCCCAGTTGGCCACCAGGTTGAACCATGCCTCCTCAAAATCATATCTGGATTTGTTTTCTTCTCTTGGTGTCTCTTTTTGACTGAGTTTGTATTTATGTGGCAACTCTTCACACATCTTTAAACATTAGCATCAGAGCTTTCAGGTTCATCTAGATGGGAGCGCTTGTAGACCATGTGTGGCTCTTACTCTGGATCTTGACATCCATGTCCTTGCGGTCGTTTATGAGCCTGATGTGCTGTTGGCGGGCCTGAAAGTACAGCTCTCTCTGCTCACTCTTCTCCACCTGCAGCTGCTTGATGCGCTCCTGCAGCCTGTCCAGCTCCCTCCTGTCCAGCACCAGGGCCAGGCTCAGGTTGGGCGGCACCGAGGCGTTAGTGATAAACTCAATCTGGGAGACAAATGGAGAATGTGAAAGGAAAGGAGAGGAACAGAGCATAGCTGTCGCAGATGATAAAATGGAAAAGGAAATTCAACAAGTAAAGTAAAAATGATATAGTACCTAATAAACTTAAGCCTGTTTGCATGTACATGTATGTATGTATGTATGGAAATCCAAGGATGCCAATATTAGGATAAATCACTGAATCTAATTTAAATTAAAGCCTTCATTTGTGTGCACATGAAGAGTTACATTTAAAAATGTAATTTTCATTTTTATTGACATGTTTGAATATACATAACAATTGCCAGCATCAAACTCTTAAAAAGTGAAAAACTGACATATAATCTTTGGCTACTCCCAGAAAATACTGCTACACTGATCCTGACATGAAATTTAAGGTAAAACAAAACTTAAAAATGAAAATGGGCGTTTTGGAAATTGTGTTAGTATTTTGTGACATTTTTTTAACTAAACAATCATTTAATCTGGAAAAGAATCAACAGAATAAGTGGAATAAGTGGACTTTCACTTTGAATTTGAAATTAGTCCTGATTTTAGTTCATTTCAGATGAAATTAAAATGGCCTTTCTTATGGCTATTTTCACAAAGGCGGGATTCTCCAGGCCTGTTTGGTGAAATCCTGGATGAAATACATTAATCAGAGAACACCATTCAGGATTCTGTCCAAAGCTGCCTTGTCTGCCTAGTGTGAGATAATTCTGGCTTGTTTTGCCAAAAATAGAGAAAATAAAGGGAGGCTGTTCTGATTGCTAATTTCTTTAAACCTGTCTACATCATTCTGAATAAGAGCTGATAACCAGTGGCTGAAAACTAGATATGAAAACGAAATGTCCAGCAAACCTTTCTGATCACATGGAGAATAAGACCATCAAACAAAACATTGCTTTACGCTCAGTGAGGTTTTACTTGGTCTTACTGCACCACTAATCATCATCCCAGGATACCAAAAATGTGCTCAAAAATCAACTATATCAATTTATTTGATTTTCAGTTGTTTTGTCATCAGTAAACCTTCACAGTTCTTGGCTGTTTACCTGGTGCAGTCTAAGAGGAACCACCACATCCAGCTCGTTCATTTTCTGCTGTTTCTCTCTGTTGACTAACTCCAAGTCATCCTCTACTGCCTGCCGACTGGCCTCCACTGATTTCTTCTGCAGAGCCAAGCAACGCACACACACACAGATGTGAGTGAAAAAAAACCCACGGTAACAAAAAACAGAGACAGGAGACACAAAGATGTTCAACCATCTTGACGAGGTCGTCGAGCTCCTTCTTCAGGAGGTCAGCGCTCCTCCTCTCCTCTGCCAGCAGTTCCTCCACATCCAGCCGACTCTCACGCAGTTGCAGCGTAGTCTCAAACATCTTTTGCTCACAGCCTGACACACACACAGACATAGATTCATACCTAAAGTGAAGAACTGCGAAATGCTTCACTTCAAATTTGATTCAAATAAAAGATTAAAAGCTCTGCTCTGTTTCAAAGTTACCCCTGTGCAGGACATTAATAGTGATTCTGGAGCATGATATGCTCATATTTTAAATTTGACTCTTTTTTTTTTTGCTTCATAAGCATCACCTTTTTTTGGTCATTCCCTGTCAACAGCCTGTTCATCTCTGGATAAATCTAACTGAACTGAATCTTGTCAGCTTAGCTAGCATCGGAGCACTCTTTTAGTTTATTGTAGTAGTTTATTGTTCTTCATTCAACTTTAGTTCTGCTCCACATTTTTCCTATGTGTGTATTACCCCTGCAATGGATCCACAAATGCAGAAGGTGGCATTTTCTAACTTTTGATGCAACAGAGTGTGTGCTGCTCTGGTGTTTGTAGTGTTCCTTTTACTTCATTTCATGATAAACCAAACATATACTTGTGCGGCTCTAGTGCCAGTATGTTACACAGTACATGAGAGGTCCCAGTCATTTTTGGCAACAACACTAATAGGATTTTCAGGCTCTGTTACAAAAGAGATCCTCACCAGGACCTGAGTCCGGACAGGACCAAATTATACTTAGTCTCAAGTAGGACTCTGCTGTCTGCCTATAAATGACCTGTACTGCACTATTTTGGTCTGTACGGGTTGACTGCATTTGGGATCTGGTCCTGGTAGCCTTGAATCTTTTCACATGTGGGGCCAGATTCCTAAAACTGTGTATACACAGAGTTTTAGTTGCAAACCTACACAAAGACAGAATTGCAGTATACATCCACATGCTTACAAAGCCACACATATGCATGGTTCTGTTTCATAAACCTCCATCATTGTGGAACTGGGTGCATGTACACAAGCCTTATTTCCAGTCCAATAGTTCACCATAGATGAACATAGATACACTCTGCATTACTTGTTTGCATAGTGATACTTCTGCCCATTGCACCACACATTAAACCAGTAAAAGGAACAACATAGAAGAAGTGCACTTTAATACACATGACTATATTACACATGGCTGTAGCTACTAACAGTATAGTGCCAATGCCATTAATTAATCATATTTCCCTCTAAACCATTATCAGTGGCACTCTCTTTGTTTGAACATTAACTTATGCATAGCATGTCAGGGGTTTTTCACTGGTCTGTTTCAGATCAGGTCCAGATCTGAAGAACACAAAGGGAAATCAACATACATAGACTGACCGAGTAAGCTGCTGAGTCATACTTCCTTACATCCCAGTAGGAAATGTTTCATGAACAAGTCCACCATAGATCACACCAGGTAGTTCCGAGGGCTCTTACATTAAATGCTTCAGTATATCCTACAGGTAGGAATCAACTGCATCACTGGTAAGAATGAAATGTTTCCACTTTATTGTGAGAAAGTAAAGGATCTGAAGAATTTTTTTCCATCACAGTACTGACCTGGGGGGCAAACCTTGTCACTCAGAGCAGCTCCTGCTTCCTCTGTGCTACTGTCATAATCTTCATCATCATCACCCCAGTCATCATCTTCATCAGAGTTTTCATCACTGTCTACTTCTTTTTCTGCAAACACACAGTGAGATCATAAATAACGCATGGAAAAATTGATATGTATCACACAATCACACACACGGTGTTACTTCCCCTCACCTTCATTTTCAGTTTGCTCCTTCTTCTTGACACTATTGACCTTCTTCTTGAAAACTTTGGTCAAAAACTCTTCAAACCTGTTGTTTTCGCCCAGCACGGTCAGAAATGTGGTAGTCAGAGCCCTCTCTCTCTCCCGCAGCCTGGCTATTTCTCTCTGCTTCTGTTCCAGCTCTTCATTACACTCACTCAGCTTTGACTGTCAGGAAAGAGGCAAAGAGGCAAATCTATTTATATAGCACAGACAAAGGCAAATCAGTGCTTAACACAAAAGTGCTTAACACAATGCACACACCTGATATAACCCAGTTAGGGTTTTGCTTACTCCAGGTGCAGCACCCTGGAGTTACCAGGTGATAAAACTATTTGGACAGTAGTTTAGAATTTCTTTCTTTAAATTTCATAAACAGGATTGGAATATGTATTAAAAGGTACCTTTTGAAGATGTATGTCTTTATCTCATGTCCCTTCCGGGAAGGCTAACCAGGAGTACACAACTTTTGAAATTATTTTAGATATTTAAAATAGTTGTTTTCTATACGGAATACAATTTACAGCTGCTTTTGTTGTTTGTTTGTTTTTTGTTTGCTTGTCTGTTTGATGTTTTGAAAGTGTGTTTTTCTAACTGTCTCTCTATTTATTGCATGTGTTATGTTAATTACCACATGTGTCTAATATGGGTGTGGTTAACAAAGCTGATTCAGAGTGATTGATTTGAACCCTGTCTTTCTCTCTTTGGATTATTGGAGGTACATTGTTTCTATTTGTTGTCCTCCTCCTATGCACCTGTCACACATTCAGGTGTGCAGAGACCTGTCAGAGTTTACAATACTGTATCTAAAATCTGCTACACACGCTTTCTGTTGTTATTGTATGTTCATGTAATTGGACTTCATTCATATATTCAAGGTTTGCCACAACTGTGGCATCTGACAACACACTGCACTAGTTAATCAAAAACATGCAAGTGCAGATCTCATGGAGATTACTCTGTAATATTTCTACTCTTTACCACAAAACTGAGAAGAACTGAGTGTCACATGCTCATTTTCATTAACTGAAATTCACTCTTTGTATAGCAAATTGATGTGCAGAACTTTGGTGCCTGTTCAGTCTTCAATCGCTGGTCATGAATTTCATAGGCTTTCATTTTGCATGTCTGAAGGAAGTAAAATATCTAAAACACTGTGGTCAGCAATAATACAGCATGCAGTTGTGAGCCACAGGTATAGTCCTTTAAAAAAACTGCTTACATACTGTACATGATGAACCAAAATGCACTGTCCACATCAGCCAGTCTACAAGTACCGTGATGCTGTTCTCCTCCTTAATGTGTCTGCTGAGTTTCTCCTGCAGGCTGTCCTCCCTCCTCTCAAACTCCTTGAGGAGCAGCAGCTCCTGGTACAGCGTTAGCTGACGGAGGTCGGCCAGCTTCAGTTGCCAGTCCAGATGCAGCTTCTCGTGCTGTAGCTGCATGAGCTCTGCATCAAACTGACACACCGAACTCTCTATCTGAAGATGAAAAGATACATCCATAGATTCTATTATAGTGGTATGCACTATGATATGAAATGTTCAGTACATTCCAGAAGATATTTTATTCACAATTACACATTTAATCTAATGTAAATAAGACTATTGGCTTAATAAGACAATTTGATATTGACACAGATATTGACTATTTCATATAAGATCCTCTGATGATGATCACAGACCTGCTCCAGCAGGGAGTCCTGCTCGTGCAGGAGTCTGATCTCCTCCTCCTTCAGGACCTCCTTCTCCAGCTCACTCAGCTCTACTCCCTCCTCCACTGGTGTCTCTTCTTCTCTTGTTACAGATAATGCAGACAGAATGGGAGACCATTCCTCTCCTCTCTTTGCCTCTTCATCATCATCTTTCCCCTCCTGTCCTTCCATCTCTTTCTCTAGCTGCTCCAACAAACTTGTAGCTCCCTCCTGCTCCTCTTGATGCATAGCCTTAAACCTATTTGAAAATAAAAAGATATAGTTATTAAAATAAGCCCTGCGATGGATTGGCGACCTGTCCAGGGTGTACCCCGCCTTCACCCGATTGCCAGCCAGGATTGGCTCCGGCCCCCCCGTGACCCCGTTCAGGGACTAAGCGAAAATGAGTGAGAGTGAGAGTGAGTTATTAAAATATACAGTAGATAATCCAAATATTCTTTTTCAGTTTATTTGTTTAAATTTAATGACCTGCACATCCCATATATAAAACTCCAAGCTGATAACTTTTTGTCAACTTTTGTCTAGAATATCAAACACTTGGCTCCATTACCTCTGCTCCCTGAGAACATGGTATCGCTCCAGGGTGGCACGTCTGTACTGCAGCCTCTTCTCTGGTATTTCCTCTGGTAGTATAGCGGGAAGGGTGGGTGGAGGGCGGCGGAGATGCACTGCCAGGCGCTGCTGGACTTTTTGGAGCTGCTGGGCCTGAGTACGCAGCTGTGACACCAGGCAAACCTTGGAGTCTCGCAACGCCATGATGCGTCCATTTATCTCAGTCTGTTTCTCACGGATCTGGTGGGATGGAGAGAGGCAATAAATAAATCTGTTATGGCTGAAACTAAGGATTTACTCTATTAATTATGAGAAAAAAAATAAGATTTCTGATGAGATTATGTCTATGAAACATCAGCCATCATTGCTTTTCTCCTTTTGTCTGATTAAATGACAAAACTAAAAATATTCTACAATCACAAAAGACAAAAAAGCAGCAAATCTCCACAATTGAGAACTAAGAACTGGGGAACTTCTGGCATCTTTGTTTAGTCATAAACTAATACTTTGAGCTATACATATATCTATCCATCCATCCATCCAGTATCTATACCGTTTATTGCTGAATAGGGTCATGGGGGGACTGGAGCCAATCCCAGCTGATGTGGGGCAAGAGGTGGGGTACACCCTGGACAGGTTGAGCTATACATACAGCATTTTTTTAAATGAACCCACTATCTACAACATCCAGACCAGATGCCTGACCACAGTTCATTACTGTATTGTGTAGTGTTGAAAAGTCTTTGTTTAAATCATCAAATAAGTTGTTTTTAAATGACGTTCTGTTCATTATTCATGAGGCATTTATGAAACTCTACAACAGAGATGACTGAGGGAAAAAAAACAGAAATGTTCACGCTGAAAATGAGCAAAGACATACAGTATATTAGCATATGTGTGTATAGTACTTTTTCCTCCAGGCTTATCAGCTCAGCTCGCTTCCTCTCAGCATTCACCCTCAGGTGTTTTGGCACTGTGAAGTCTTTGGCTGACTTCAGTTTTAAGTCTCCGATGTTCTCTTTGGCCTCTTGGATTGCCTGCACATCCCGCGGATCCTCACAATTCTCATCTGACTTCTCTGCATAACTGAGGCACCATCAACCAATTACAGTTTTGCACCAGTATTGAAATACAGCAGTTACAGTTCAGTTTATCCCCACAGCCTGCTACCAGGTTAATCTGGTAACATGTTTATTTTTTAATTGATTTTTAAGAATACAGGACTAAGGTGACGTTGTTGAACATGACACTCACAATTGGGCCCATTCCTGTTTCCTCTTCTCTATTTTGGCTTGAGCTTGTTCAGCTTTCTCTGCAGCCTTTCGAAGCATTTCAATCTGACGATCTCTTAGCTTAATCCCTGTTGCATTAGTCAATGGGGGCCGCAGCACCTCCTCTGGAGAACACACACAGGTGATAAGTAAGCTACGTATGTCTTTGACAGGTGAAACAGACACAAACTCTGTCCTACCTTCTACTGTGCTGCTGCTGTTTGCGGGCTCTGCTCTGGACTTTCTGCGTCCTGGTGCAGCAGCTCTGTCTCCTTCAGGCTGACTGGGTGTGCTGTGATGTCTGAGCTGGGTTAAAGGCTTGGGATACACTGACAGACGGTAGGTGGAGACTTTGTGGTCAGTGCGGATGGCGACCACAGTGACCACGCTGGTCTCTAGAGAATCCTTGAACCTGAAAACAAATACAACAAGTGGAGGGTTTGGTTCTGGTTAGACGTTGGCTGAGTCTTTAAAATGTAATATTGTTGTTTATTCAATACTTGTGTTTTTAAGGGGCCTTTTACAAACACCTTTTCCCTTAGTTGCTTCCCTTGGTCCCAAGCTAAACATAATAACAGAAGGGTTTGGCAAGTAGTGGTTATGGTTTAGGATAGGATAGGATAAGTCACTAGGAAATTAATCTAAGTGAATGTAAAGGGATGAAAATTATTGTGTGTGTTTGTGAGTATTCAGTCAGTACCAGCCCTGTAGTTTGGTGAGTGCTATGTGGCAGCGCTCCATCTCCCAGCCCAGCTGCTTTCTGACCTCCATCACCTGCTGAGACTTTACCCTGTCTGCATGTTCACCGAAACGATGGTCCAGCTGCAGCTCCTACACACATGCACATACTTGAGGATAATGCATTGACTTCCACTGATTCCATGGACACTTATCCAAACCTTAACTGTAATGTGCCTAACCCTAACCAGGTCTTCTTAACCCTAACATATGGTTGCCCTTGTGAGGACCCACTTTGTATCCAGGAATGAGCTGTCACAATGTGACTGTGAGAACAGGTTTTGCCCCCACACACAATTAAGACAAGTTCCCACAAAAACAGGAAGTCCCCGCAAATCATGTTTGTGCAGTGTTATAAATGTGTCGCCAAATGATATGGATGTTCATCTATTGTCTTGACTTTTCTCATAGCACCCTCCATCCATTGTCTTGACTTTTCTCATAGCACCCTTCTCACAACAAATATATCAATCCACAGTCACAGAGAGACAAGCATGCTAGATGATCTGTGAATCTGAAATCTGGGAAATGAACTGGTGATCCAGGTGACAGTGTGTGACACTGAAGTTTGTGTGTTTCTGTACCACAGGTTTCAGGCGAACATGTTGCAGCAGATTCTGGTTGCTGTCCAGCAGCTGTTCAAAGGTCTTCCGGAGCTCAACCAGCTTCTTACGCTTCTCTGCAATTTTTAACTCAGCCTCCCGATGCAGCTGGTCCTTCTCCAGCTTCTGCTTAGCTGTCTCTATGCTGGAGAGAGTCAGGGTGAGGGTTAGAAAGTTAGAAGAGATGAAAGTCACAGTGATAACACATACATCCTCAAATGTTCATCAGAAATTCAAGAAAAGTAAATCAAAATGATCCCTAATCAAATTATTCACACTCACCTGTAAGCTGCTGGGTCCTCAATGTCCTGAGCCAATGGCTCATTCTGAAGACCCACCTATTAGAATCATACAAAAACAAGTTGGTCTAACTTTTGATATTGATTAAACTGATGTTCAATTACAAGCATCCATTTGGACAACTTGCACTGCACCACTGATAAACAAGCCCCCAAATTCGCACCCATGTGATGATTTCTATTAAAAACCTGCTGATGTGGTTATCAACAACATGTGGCAGTTGTGACAATTCATTTATTCAAGTGCCTGACACCGTAAACACCTGAACCGTGCCTTTCATATTCCGTTTTCATCAGGATGAAAAGATGAATATCAGGGAAATATACATAAAGAAAACAGAAATTACACCATGCAGCCCATAAACACAAACAATCTTTTTAACAATAATCATTATCTTCTCCTCTGTCTTACTCTAGCAAAACAAAATGGGTCTGTAAACATGGGATAAACCATATTTTCTGCCAAGGTCAGCTTTTCATGCCACCTTCCAGTGAAGTTGTTCAAAACAGTTCTAAACACTTTTGCCTACAGACAACTCGTCACACAAACCAGCTTTACCTTACATAACATGACCTTAAAATACAGTCTCACAGAGCCACTAGTGTAGACTCAGTTTTTTCTTTTGTTTGTTATTCCTTATATTCACTGTTTAAATACATAATCAAATGAGAAGAAAAAAATGTAAAGAGAAACTAAAGAAAAGACAAATAAAGTGTAGACTGACCCTGGGTGAAGGAACCTTGGCCTTTTTCTGCAGGCTTTTTTGGAGGTCCTCTGGAGAAAGTAGGCTGAAGGAGAAGATGTTTCCATCGTCTCCTGTCGTCAGCACAAAATGGTCATCATGGCTACAGCATATGTGGCGCAGGTGCCCATACTGGTTGTCATGAACACTGAGAGCCCAGTAGGCCTGCATGGAGATGAGGCTCTGGTCACCGGGCTGCAGAGGGTAGACCCTAATCGAGCCAGAATGCATGCCAAAGAACAGCAGCTGCCTGTTGGAACTACAAAATACCAAAACACCAGGACACCTCAACTACAAATTTAAACATGTAATACCTGGTTCAATATGATAAAGAAGCTGTAAAGTTTACTGTTTATTTAAAGATTTGTTAGTTTGCACTTTAGCTACCTGAAGGTGACAGAGCAAATGGGGTCATCGTCTGCATTGTGGACAGGCAGGAAGTCAAATGGCTCATCTTGCTGTTTATCCGGATCCAAGTCTTGTTTCTCAGAGAACTTACAGTGATACAAGAAACCTGCATCATAGCCTCCCTGCAGGAGAAACAGGAAGGAGAGAAATTGGATACAGCAAACATTTGTGGATTTGTTTATTTGCCCATGTACCCTCTCTACAGTCTAAAATGTATTTCACTGTTCAAACACTGAATTCACATGAACCATATTTCTACTGACATCAACATGTTTTTTATATGTAATAATTGTTTGAATCAGCATTTATTGGTGTTCTGTTTATAAATTCATTATTCATTCATCAAGGATATGATTCAAAAGTTTTATAATGTTTTTTAGAAATAATTTATAATCCCAAATGTTTTAGACAAACTATATATTTCTAGCTGATGCACAGATATTTTCAGCCCCACATGTGACTGAATGGAAATGATGACAGGAAGTAAAATATGTTTATGGCTATAAGGCACCACACTCTCCTCTTCTCTCTGACTTCAATATTATTCATGATACAGAAAAAGGGAAATAGCATGTAGAAAAAAATATTTCAGCTATTGGTGAATCTGAAAACAAATAAAATCTAAGTCTTGGTATTAATACTCATGAGCTGGTTCTGTTATTTGTCTGCAGTTTTCATATCAGGTTTTTTTATATATATATATATATGTTGATCTTCCTGTCACATTCTGTTTCCTAGCACCAATGTAAATGATGGATGCCTGGCTGCAACAAACTGTACAAAATGCAGCCTCCGGTTCAAAGCTAGCATTAACTGACTAAAGAGTAAAATTGTCAGTTCAGTAAAATGCTTTGGTTAATGACACAAAGTGCTAAGGTTACACAAAGATTGATTTACTCTGAAATTAAAATCATATTAAGTCTATACAAAGGTAAAATCATGACCATTCTAGGTCTCTAATGTTACCAAAACAAACATATTAGCTTTAGATGCTAACATATCCAGATGGAAAAATGTGGGAAGAAATAATGTTTGTTTAAATGGGACAATGCACATTAATCAGTATGTATTGTAATGAATGTGCCGGGTCACAACCTTTTTAAAAATTGATAAAAAGAATTTACACTGTGTAAAAATGTGTAAAACCATAGTTAAAGCACCTTTAAGTGCCTTGTATGACTGTCAAACCCTCATGTAAAATTCTTCATCTTTTGATTTTGATTTCCAAGTGGACTGTTTCAGTAAATTTTATGTTTGATTCCTATGTAATTTCCTTGGACGTCCCAGTTACCTTCATCTCCTGACAGTTGTGCCTGACCACACAAAAGTCATATAACTGTGGACTGAAATGAAATACATATTGAGTGTCAGTGTGTGCACCATGGAGAGCCAGAAATGGCCAGGCTGTGAGTAGAAGCCACAGAAGAGAGGACTTGGAGGGTCGGGGATGTAAAGAGGGGTTAAGTCCTCTTTCTCCTCATCCTCTTCCTCTTGCTCTGCATCTGGCTGCATCAATTCTTTCCACCTCTCCGCTCTTTCTTTTTTCTTCTTCTCCTTTATGGATTTACGTCTTGAAATTTCCTCTTCTCTCTGAAACACACATATGCACATATAAAGTTAGTTATTTCCAATAACATCTTGCAGCAACCCTTAAACTTGCTTTCTCTAAATATCTAAATAATCTTTAAGACAGAAGCCAATGAAGGAGAGAAAAATACTTGAATATCACATGGCCACAGAGATCACATCACGAGACAACATGTATATTAGAAATAAACCTGATACAGTATAATGTAATGCAGCCTTAAAGCTAAGACAGACAAAGTGCAGACCTTGATATGAGATTTGATGCTCCTGAACCTGAAAGATCTGCTGGGCAGCTCAGACAGCTGGAAGGTTTTGGTCAGCTTTTTGGCCTCTGGATCAGGTCTCTGCACCTCCACCACATGACCACTCTGACAAAGGATGAGCAGCCTGTTTTCACTCTGGGTAAAATTGTAAAAGAAACTGGTTAACTTAATAATGCTGCTTCACAGAGTGTTTGAGGTGAACATGGGTTACTAATTACATTTGTGAGTGTTTCCCTGTCTGATAGCAGCAGCAGCGGCAGCTGGAGACCAGACTTACATGGGAATGAGGTGCCCATTCCAGCCCCTGCACTGGCCCTGGAACATGGACAAAGCCGATGGGGTTGTATTTTTCTTCAACAGTGAAAAAGAACACTGTACAGTCTGAACTCTGAGAAGGAAGTGAAAGGTCAGAGAAATGAGACAAAAAACAATTAAGAAAAACAAACAAAAAATGGACTAAATACAGAAAGCGTAAACCCATGCCAAGGCAGCTCAGTTTCCCCATAATGCCATTAAAAAAATGTGTGGGTTGGGATGTTGATCCAGATCACCACCAAAATGTAATGGATTGTTCCATGGGCCATACCCTACCTCTCCAAACCACTCTTGTGGTATCATCCAGAATTCCATGCTACCTCTGAATGTATGTAAGTTTAGATATTCACACAAACTGAGATTGTAAAATTATATACTGCTTCTTTTCTACTAAAGACATGACTCTGTGCAATGGAGTTGAATTGTTTCTGTTGAAACTTTGCTGTCAGAGGAGTATGACCAATAACTGATGGTGAGACATGTGCAAGAGTTTGTCATCATTTCTCTACCACGTGACTTATCTGATTCAGCATCACAGTCTGAGGCCAACCATAGCAATAAAATCTGTAGAACAACATCTTCTTTTAACTTTTATACAAGAGAGAATTTGTGGCTCTGCCAGTCAGCGACCCCCATGATAGCTGAACTCAGTACTTTACAATGAAAAGTATTAAGAGCAAAATATCATCATCAGTGTTTGAGACTGTACTATTGCAGCTTAGATGAATGATAAAAGACCACAAGGAAGTGTATATTTTAGTCTCAAACTCAGTGTGCAGTGGTCTTGTGCAAAATGAATGTGCACAGATCTTAATTTTTGCATGTTTCCATTTACTTTTTAGACATTAAATATTTATGACTGGATTGTAGCATTAGACTAATGAAAGTTAGACAGTACCAGATATAAGGTACAGACTTATTTCAACCCTGTAAAGTTAGCTTCCCTGGATTACATCTGGGAATTGGTGAGTCTTCCATCACTCGCCTCCAGATGGTCCAAAATGCTGCAGCACGCCTTTTAACAGGTACGAGAAAATATGAGCACATCTCTCCAGTTTTAGCTTCCCTGCACTGGTTACCTGTTTATTTTAGGGTTCATTACAAAATTTTACTTTTTGCTTTTAAATCCCTTCATGGCTCTGCACCACCCTACTTATCCGATTTGCTTCACTGGCATACTCCCACACGTTCTCCGAGGTCAGCCAATCAGCTTATTTTGATTGTGACTAGAACTAAGTGTAAGCTTAGAGGCGACCAGGCCTTTGCGGTCGCTGGTCCCAAACTTTGGAAAGAGTTACCGTTGCCCATCAGACAAGCTTCTTCTCTGTCTGTTTTTAAGTCTCTTTTAAAAACTCATTTATTTTCGTTGGCGTTTTGAAATTTTATATTGGTGTTGATTTTATTTATTTTTATTGATTCATGTTTTTATATTGGTGTTGATTTTGTTTGTGCTTGTGGGTTGTGTTTTTAATATATATTGTTTATTGCAATGTACAGCACTTTGGTCCACCTTGGTTGTTTTAGTGCTTAATAAATAAAGTTGGTATGCTATGGTATATTATTATTGTTTGTATTATTGTTGTTGTTGTTGTGTTTATGCAGTGTATGAATCCAGCCTGACTACAGCTGTCATCTTCAATGCAGGAACAACATACAAACTTTTCAGAGCCACCTTTCAAGCTGATAATAGTCAAAAAATTTCATTTTGAATAAAACCGCTGCTTCCTGTAGAGTTGAACGTTTTCTAATACTGGCTCTCACAGTTATAAACACAGTTTTTCTGAAAAACCTCTTACCCCCGTGGCTAAGATCTCTCCATTTCGCTCATATGCCACAGCAGTTACAGGGCCATTATGGGGTTTGAAGGCCTGCTTAAGGTGCAGCTTGGTGCCTCCTTTGGGACTGCGTCCAGTGAATTCCTGCAGCCTCTGAGGGTCATACAGCTCCAGTAAGCGGACCACCCCATCCTCGAAACCTGTCACCAGTAAACCTCCACTCTGGCTCACCTAAAGACAAACTCCAGTTGTCAGTTTTCTGTCAGCAGACATCATATGTGGTAGCAGAATTCATGTTCACATTGACACACTTACCAAAGGAGGAGCCCAGCAGAGAGCAGTTCCACCCTGACTGAAGCGATTGGTGGTCAGTTCTCTTTTTGCCAGGAAGTCAAAAACTCTGACCGAACCTGGAGAGCAGATGGAGATGCAGTTCCTGTTATTAGCGTCTTTGTGTTGATGGGTTTGCAAACGTGCAGTACGTTTGCAGTTGTGAAAACATGTGAGACTCACGGTCCAGAGCGGTCGTGGCCATCAGGTGGGATTTCTTTGACACATCCAGACCTTGGATCGCTCCAGCATGGAAGGAAAACAGGCACTCTGGATCAGGGGTCTGCATACACAGGCAACACATCAACTGTTATGACCCTGGGAAAGCACACTGTATTTATTACAATAGTTTATCACAACACATGATGATACAAAAGATTGTGTCATGCTTATGTAAGGACCTGCAGTTAAATTTTTTTGTCAGAATACTTCACTCGTGTGCATTTATTTTTAATTTGTTCTTCAGTAGTAATGTGAATCAAATATGTGATGTGAAGGTTGGGGAGAAAACTGCCAACATAATAAATTATGCCTGCAAATATTTTAAAGACTGACTTAAAGTACTGATAGCAACACCACAGCTGACCAGGAATGGAGTACTCCGCATCATATAAATCAACATCTGTTTAAAAACTACAGTGTCAGTGTAGAAAACCTGCCGTGTAGGTGAAAGAAAGATCCAGTTTCCAGATGGCTCCGTTGGAATCCTACAGTTCAAGACCACATGGGAGAGAGATCAAGACTGAGGTGATGCCAGATTGTTAATTTCAACAGGTTTTAAGTAGTGACCTTTGACTTGTCTTCTGACCTGAGCAAACCAGATGAAGGAGTTGGACAGGGAGCTCTTCACCATAGAGGAGAGGCAGACATTGTGTCCCACCACCATCTCATTCATGGGCTCCATCTCAAACCTGCTGCTGTTGCCATCACTGTCGACCATGTTGATGCTCTCAAAGTCCCAGCCCTGAACGGGGCAGAGGGGTGTTACAAAGTCATACTGGTTACAGAAATACATGATTGCAAAAATTCTTTATTAAGATCAGCCAGTCTTATTAAGAATGTAAAGAAGGGTCGGTTTTTCCCTAAAATCTAAAACTAAATAATTTAATCCAAATTTTATACGGATCTTATTTTTTAATAAAAATTTTTTAATTGCAAATATGAAAATAATAATTATTTGTGTGATTTTTATTTTGCACCCTCCATCACTCTGTGTTGTGTTTGCATTTTGCCAAATGGGTCTAAATCAAATCTAAAACTGTCCCAAACAAATGCACAGTGTCATCCTGTTTGAGTAACAGTTTCTAATAACTATAGTGCCCAGCTATTTTTAGGAAAATGATGTGTACTGTATTTGTATTAAAAGTTTACATCTTAGTCTTCACTGTCTGGTCTTGGTCTTTTGACTGGGTTTAAAAAAGTAAAAAAACTACAGAACAATGCCAGACTTAAATGCCTCTTTAAATGTCTCTTTGGGACAATAGCTTTGCAGCCACATAATGTACATCTGTCACCTGCATTCCTCCCTTTGTAAGAACAGCTAAGTCTCATTCTACTTTAAACCTGTGCTAAACTGCAGACAAAATCAAATGAATGTATGTTGTCCCAGAGCTCTATATCAGTACATTTCAATAAAATGTGACAACACTGTAGGGATGCTGCTTTCTGAAGATATTTAGACACATGAAATAGGTCAAAATGAAAACAATAATGAAATCAGTAATGAGTAAACACTGGCCAAACAGTAGCAAGTGTTGTTCAGCAGTAAAAAATAATTATTTAGAAAACATCGAAGAAGAACGTTGACAGACATCTTCTAGAAGTGAAGCTTTGTGGGAGTATGGGGTTAATTATTGTGAGTGTGTTACCCGGACAACTCCATCAGAGCCAATCGTCATCAGCTGTCCGTCTTCTAGGGAAAACGGCTGGACCACTCCGGCATGGCAGCTCTGCCCCTCCTTACGGCAAATCTCCGCTTTAATGGCATTCCCATCCCACAAGAGCAGGTTGCCCCAGTCTGACCCAGATACCACCTGACAAAGGCAGAAAAAAAAAGCAAACCACAGGAAGCTATTTTGTCTCTTCTCAATTACTTCTTGAGATTTTTCAAACAAAAACGTTCTTTAAAACAGTCTTATCATCATTTAGTCAACCCAGTAGCTGTTCTGGATCTACTGATCATATCACACCCTCACCAAATCAGCCCCTCACTTTACTTTAATGTCAGATCAGAGCACAGACCTTTCCATCAGGAAGTTCCACATGTCCCTGAATATCAGTTGCTGCAGTTTTCCCAAAATGCCCCATGAGACCTTGCAGTTTAAGACCTGTGAATGTGCTGGCCATCTTCCAGAACCTGATGGAAGGAAGAAACAACAGTATTTTAAGTTTCTATGAAAAACAAAACATGTTCAGTATGTCTGTGATAGTTGTAGTTTCACGGCTTATACTGGCCTACAGCAATGGTTTCCTTAGGTTTCTAGGCAACATCACAGTAACAATAAGAATCCAAGAAGTAACTGGAAAGGCATTCTTTCCCTCTGCAGAGGGGTATCAATCTTCTTCTCTAACACTTGGCAAGAATGCAAATAAGCAAATTTCCTGAAATGTATAACTATTAAAAGTGCCACAGTTTGTGCTAATCTAAACAAACTTAGTGCCTGTTGGAACTGATTTGTTTTCTGATGGATTTGGCCTCATAGGTATAATGGTTAAACTTTTTATTCTAAAGGGTTAAGAGAAAAACCGGATCTTTACCATTGTTATTTTAAATTTCTAGAACATTTTCTTCTACCAAAGTAGCCATTGGCTCAGTTATCCACTGGAAAAAAGTACAGAACTAAGTAGGCCTAAAACTTAAAGTTATAGCAGTGATTTTGTAGCAGGGTTTCAGGGTTTTCTGAGGATTCAGTGAGTCATTTACTTGATGTGTGCAGGTCCTGATGTTATGAGCAGTCTTGGGTTGTACAGGGAAAAACTGATTCGGTAGACCTCCTGAGAAATGGCCTTGCAGCTCAGCATCACCTCCTGCCTCCAGTTCCACAGTGTCAGCATATAGTCAGGTGCGCTGCCCACGCTGGCCAGCAAGCTCCCGTCGTAGTTAAAATCCACAAAGCTGTACGCATTTTCTGTACCACCTACCGACATGCAAGTTAGAAAATGACCACCAAATAATTTTTAAAAAAGTGGAAAAGGTATAGCTACATGCATCCTGGTGTCATTTACCTCTGAGGATGCGGTATGGTCGTAGTGAGGGATATTCATATACTATAATGTTGGGCTGGTTTCCTTTTTCTGCTGTAACAAAGAACTCTTTGCTAGGGTGTGTCTTCACATACAAACACACACACAAACAAAGAAAAACAAAGTTTTTAAGCAGTGTATTTTGTCTTTTTTTTTTTTTTTTTGCTCCACATCCACCGTGCTGCATCCAAGACATTTAATAAATGTAAGTTCTTCACTTTTGACACACAAACTTTCAATTAATAGCCATTTATCAAATATCTTTGAATTAACTATCCATTAGAGAACTCCAGAGGCTGGGACCTTTGTTACATGTCATTCCCATCTCACTCCCCTGATTCCCTGTCATCTGTCTACTGTCAGCTATAACATAAAAAACACACATGCATAACAGCATGCTTTTTTTTTATGTTTCCTGCGGACAGTCACAGATAAAACGGAGCCTCAGTGTGACTCTTACATGACATATAGTTTGTCAGCCACATTACCGTGATGGAGCCGATTCCGCTTCCACTGCAGGAGTGGAGGTATCTCTGCTTTTTGGTGGAGATGTCCAGCAGGATGATCAGGTTACCTGCTATGAAGATCAGAGTTCTATCATCCAGCAGTTGCAGGTTCGCCCTGCGCCCACTGTCATAGCCAAAGGAGTGACTGGATGTAGAGTGAATCAAGGATCAAGGTCAGATCTAATAAAGTTTTACAGAAGACTTACAGTATTTTAGATTGCTTTAGATTTTGGACCGATGTGTTAGTCAGCATCATCAAAACACCAAATGGGGGAATAACATTTGGAAGAATGGTGTCCATCACTCCACTAGAGTTCAGAGACCCAATGTCAAGGAGCACTAATGCTGTTCTGGTGGCACATGGTGGCTCAACACGTTACTGAAACTCTTTGTTGGTTTGTCTTTTCATTTGTCACCTGTCTGTATTTCTTAATACTGTATTATTACTATGTTTAAAGTACCCATAGTACACTGCACATATAGTATAACATTATATACTACGCATGCATACATAGTTACTATATTAGACATATTTACACTGATATATTATAAATATAGCATATATATAATAGATGTAACTATTTTCTTATATAAGCTATGGTATTGTAATGTACATAGTAGTTTATTGTTATCTCTCTTATTTCTTTAATTTTTTATTTCATTTGTATTGATTTCATTCAAGTAGTTCTTCAAATGAATACATAATGATCAATAAAATATTATTTTATTGTATCAAACAATTCACAGCCATGAGAGTTAAAACCAAGATTTCAAAGTCCGATCTGAACAGGTTACATTTAGTCTTGAAAGTCTTCTCCTGAGTTCATTTTCAATACTGACAGCATATATTTCTTGCTATTCATAACACTAATGAATGAAAATAGATGTTTATTTGCTAGGTATGTTGAGATATCAGAAGAAATGTGGTTTGAAACGTTTTCAGGAAACAGTTTTCAAAGGATACGAGAGGTGCAGGAGACTCTCTGGGATTTCAGAGTCAGGTGTAATGAACGGTCTCGAGTGAAGATCCTCATAATTGTAGTACATGTCTGCAGAGAGCTGCTTTGTTGATTTCTCCTCAGCCTCCTGCTGCATCCCTGAGTGTTCAGTATCCTGGCCTGTGGGGGAAGAAATGTTTGGCAGATGTTTCACAACAGACTTAAAGTAACTTGTGCATCTACCCCAAAAAGAATCATATAAAAAAGAAAAAAATGAAGATCCTCATAATTGTAGTACATGTCTGCAGAGAGCTGCTTTGTTGATTTCTCCTCAGCCTCCTGCTGCATCCCTGAGTGTTCAGTATCCTGGCCTGTGGGGGAAGAAATGTTTGGCAGATGTTTCACAACAGACTTAAAGTAACTTGTGCATCTACCCCAAAAAGAATCATATAAGACAGAAAGAAAACATTACTCTCATGCTTTTTATATATATATATATATAACAAATCCTTTTTTTTTAAAGTCCTGGTCATGGGTGAGACTATACAGGTCAAAAATATCAGGTTTTTGGAGTCTCTCATAGGTTGCTGAGGAAATACCAACTTTATAAATATATATTAATCATTGCTGTCACCTAAAAATGATATTTTAGTAAAATTTGTTCTCTCCACAATTTTTAAGCTATTTTTTATGTCAATTATACAATTTTGACTCTTCACCTACTTTCAGATCTTACACTTCAACTGACATTTGAACTTTTTGCAATACATGTCAACTGGCTTAACACTTTGCTTTCATTTCTTATTTAGTTAACTGAGAATTCTTCTGCATTCACTGATCACACTCCGCCTGCCAGGCCTGTAAATGCTTAATTACACATGACATTTCATTCACGTTATCTATGAGAACCAGTGACTCTAATGGAAACTTATTTCAGCACTTCCATTTTAACTGTCATTTCAACTTCATTCATAATTTGCTTTAGTAACTTAAAAAAAACTGTCAGTTTTCAGCAGCAGGTCGTATACTATGCTTTGTAAATTCATACCATGTTAACAACGAGTGTAATTAATTGAGTAATATGATTATGCCCTCTACCTTCAGATTTTTTGCCGTGAAGCAGTCCGTGTGCTCTCAGCCTGTTCACCAACAGATGTGTTTATGTCCGCTATTTCGGCTGTTAAATTATCCGCTGCCCTGGCTTTTTATCAGTAAAATAAACAGGGTCGTTCAGCTAATATTCAAACTCATTTCCACCTTGAACAATGGGACACTATAAACGGCAGTAAGTGTAACAAATACGCAAAATATAGCGCAACACATTTTCAGTTGTCCCGTATCAAGCAAATACCTTTGACTATATTTAGCTAATATCTATGTTACCTACTGAAGTTTGTTTGGAGGCGTTGCCAGGCAACAATAAAAGGCACTGCTGCAAATCCTGCTGGTTAATGTAGTTCACAACCCATTTGTATTACACGTGCATGTGGCATTAAATTAGAGACAGTTTTTATTGCGTTGATCTTTTGAACTGCATCATCCTGGGCTCAAAATGCTATAGTAACAGTAGTAAGTAAAAAAGATAACGTATATTGCTGCAACAGGAACGACGAATATAGACCCGGCATGGCGCGGCGCTGTCCCTTTAAAAACCACTTGTAAACAAACATGGCCACTTCACACTCTCACAGAGAGTATATATGAGAACATTCCAGACTACCGACAGGTATGGAACTACATTACTGTAGACACACTGACTTCTGAGCTACTTAAAACGTTAATATGTGATTTTATATAAACTCCAGGGTTTATGTTGGTTAATGCACTACTACTTTTACGCCACAACAAATTATCACAACAACCTAGGTTTTACGGCAGCAAAAGTTCAACGGGATTGGACGTTCTGTGCCGTAAACCGTGTTGGTTAGCGAACGCGTGGAGAGAGCTTGGTCAACGTGCATTTATGTTAAATGTAAGTTATAAATGTGTTGTATACTTTATTATTGTTCGCGTTAATAGTACAGATAAACAACAGGCGCGCGGCGTTTTAGATAGATTAATAACATTTATTGACCTCCATCGTTTATGTTATTAACAAACTAGCTTGGGGAAAGTACCCAAACTCTTTTGCTAACTCCACAGCTAACTTATAAGTTATGCACTTGTAAATATCTGTGAGCTAAATTAAGTGAAAGCAGAGACAGCGCATCCTACAACACAACAAATTAAAGCTAATGTTCAGTGTTAAGATGTAAAATTAAGTAACATATTGACAATTAAATGCGCATAACTGTCAAGATGGCTTGACCGATGTTCCCCAGTTATTAGCTGGCGAAGAGTCGATTACACTTACTTTTAACACGCATTGCAAGTTTTGCGATTTTGTTTTTGTATAATGTCCGTCTGGATATATCTCTTAGTGTGTTTGCAGATCCTTAATGTGCCTTACAAGTAATTACATTTTATGTTATTATTATTTATAGTTGTCTGATTCCTGAACCAATTTAATTTTCTCAATTCCCTTTATTCTGACTGGCAAGCAAAAATCGACTGAAACCTTCCACCAAGCTTTATCCAAATAGTTCAATTTAAGATGCTTACAGAAGTTAAAACAGATTTGTACTGAAATGTTTCATTGTAGACCTCTGCTCAGCCAGTCACCAGACACAAAATAGGCCTGGAAATATGTTGGAGTTTGGAGTTTTAGTAAAATGTTTTGGAGCAGATTTCTGATTACTTGTATGCCTGTATCTTTCTGCTGTTGTCCTCACTGCCATTTCACTCTGGATGTACATTAAGATGGAGGCCAAATCCAAAAAACTCTTCTCTCCTAAAGGTGGAAAGAAGCTTACACAGAGGGGAAAAGGTAAGCTATGTTTCACATTAACCAGCTATGTACAGTACACTGTCACTTTCAACCAGGTTTGTCTTTGAGATACTTCACTCTGTCCAGATTCCATAGGTCTCAACCTTGGTGGTAAACCAGGCAGTAAGCCAGCCCGGAAAAAGCCCTTCAAACCATACAACACAGACAGGAAGAGCAGACCGGGGAAGAGTAGAGATGATGGCAAGAAAGGTCACCAATTTGCTTTCTCCAAAGGTGGAAAGGGGCCAAAGAAGAGAAAAGCACCACCAGTTAAAGATGATGAAGACGGTGAAGGTGAGAAAACATACATCTTCATGTACACACAACCTGTTTGTACATATTTGTAGTGTTTTACTTCTCATTACCACTGAACATTTGGACCAGTTTTTATTTATGTTCACCCTGCTCTCCCAGTTAGCCCTGTCAAATCACAGTATGACAAGATAGGAAATCAAAAATAATTTTAAAAGTGTTCAGAAAAAAATAGAAGAAATGAAAGAAAATCCAATTCTAAAAACATTTAGACTTGAATACTACATGTTAAATGGCATGGGCAAACAGTGCATGGATAGTAGTAACAGTGTGAGGTTTCCTTCAAATTCATTGACAAGAACAGGTTTACGCTCTAATGCTCAACACAAAATCAAGGAGTATATTTTTACCTCTGTCCATTCCAGCTGTTTTGCTGCTGTGCTCAAAGAAACAGTTTCTAAACTTTAACTTGTGTTTCTCCACTGCATGGATTCAGCCTGAATCTCTTCTTGGCGAATGTTACTGAAATGTCCCAACAGGTCCAGTGGCTAAGAGGACAAAGAAAGGTGAGTTTAAGCCAAAGAAGAAGGAGCTGACAAAGGAGGAGCTGAAGAAGAACAGGCAGCAGAGAAAGAGAGACCTGAAAAAGAGCAGACAGCAGGCAGAGAGGAAGGATATGTTCCAGATCATCTGCCAGTCAAAAAAAGTTTGGGGAGACCTCAGGAGGTACACACACACACACACACACACACACACACACACACAGTCAGATGGAGAGAGTTGAAGCCATTAAACCTG